GAGAGAGAGAGAGAGAGAACTTGAGATGGGGGAGGAAGAAAAATATTTCTAGGATCTGATGATGGAACAATTTTACTTACAGCTTTCTTATTTATTTCTTATTTCTTATGAATGGCAAGAGAAAGAGAAGAAAGGGCAGAATGACTAATGACAGTTTACATCATATTCATAGCTATAATGCAATATTGAAAAATAAATTTTATTACTTTTTAATAATATAGAAATTGTATAATATATATTACTTAAAATGGTTATCTAAATTTTGAGATATTTAAAAAGTAAACTTTCACGTTTTAAATTTTAAAAGTTGAGAAATTTAAAAGGTAGTCATCAGAGAAATTAATTTACATTGAACCTTAAATTTCTGAACTATTATGGGTAAATGTGTCACTATCATTTCTATTTTCAACTAGACCTTACAAATATTTTCAAAATTGACATTGTTTAATTTTTAATGTATCACTAATATGATGCACTTTTTTTTTTTACTGTCATTCTGCTAGTATGTATTCTGAGTTCTTTCTACTCTTTCTTAACCCAGTCCTTTTCTCCCAATAAATGACTAAATATATTCATTCAGAAAATATTTATTCTGAAGCAACTACTTTGGTAATGACACTGTGTTAGGCTTTCAGGAGACACTAGAGATAAAAATGAATAAAACATCCCATTTCATGGTTCTTAAACCCCATTGTGGAGAAGAGACAGCAAACAAATAATTGTAAAAACTGTGCTAAGAATTGTTAATTTTATAAAGAAAAATAAAACAGAGCAAAGGATGTATCACTATTTTATATTTACTGGTCATAGAAATATTGTATGATACTCAAGTAACAAAAAAAAAGACCTAAAATAACTGAAGAAATGGATTGTAGTGTATCTGGGGGAAAGAATACAAGGCAGAGAGAACAGTAATTTTTTTCTTTAAAAAGTTTGTTTTTTGTTTATCTGATGTTTGTTTATATGTTGTTTATATGATGTTTGTTTATATGTCAAATAAGTTTGCAGGTATTCTCTCACCGTTCATTTATGTTGTGTTCTCTTTCTCTCTTTATTTTAAAAGTGTTTAATTAAGTGGTCTGCAATTTTTTTATTTAATAAAATAATAAAATTCTAATTCTATTATCTTTATGCCAATACTTTTATAAAGCATACAATACTATAGACTAAATTCTTCCATTATCTTTATGCCAATACTTTTATAAAGCATAAAATACTATAGCCTGGCCCAGAATCCCTTTTTATATTTGAAGTACCCGTGGTTAGCTTTCTATTTAATAATGTCTGTTGGTTCCTTAGTATAAGAAAGAATAAGATTGTTTTCTCTTCTCTTTCTTCATTTATCATCTAAACTTAGTCAACATTTAATCTATTTATTACTTTATCTTTAAATATGTTTCATTTTTCACTACTTTATTCATTAACTTCAAGTATTGATTTGCTGCCACTTCACTATGAAGCATCAATTCTGCTTATTCTTCATCATTTTTTTTCTCAAATTTTCTCCTGACTCAAGTTAATTCCCATTTCACACCTTTATGTTCTCTGACCATTGCCTCTTCTTGATTAGTTGTCAATTCTCTCCTTTCTTGTATTTCCTCCCCATGATGAATGAACTCTCGTTGCTTTATTGAGGATTCTTTCTTTGTGAATCAAATCTGTATCACAATTTGGTTCTGTGTTTTGACAACAATTTTAGGGTGAATTTATTTATTCTGCTAAGTACTTGGCTCATTTTTCACTTTCTTTTTTTCTATGGTATTGTTGGAAGGAAACTCCATTTCTTTTTTTTAAGGCTATAAACATATCATAGTGCTATTTTATTTTTTTATTTTTTATTTTTAGATATTTTTGTTTAATTTTAAAGATGTGGAGTATGATTCGGGGTTAGGTATACAAATGTTGATTGTGCAGGTACCCTTGTTGATGAGGTGTGCCCCTCCCTCCCCTGGCAGTTTCCCTCAACAGCCAATCCCACACCCCCTTCCCTGGCAGTTTCCCACTACTGCCAATCTCTTTCTTCTAGTATTATAATAATTGTTCAAGGTTCACTTATGAGTGAGAACATATGGTACTATGTTCTTTGTTTCTGTGATAGATCACTGAGCATGATTGTCTTTAAATCCACCCATGTTGCTGTGAAGTCCATGTGTTTGTTTTTCTTTATGGCTGCATAATATTACATTGTGTATGTGTACCACATTTTAAAAAATCCAGTCCAACTTCGATGGGCAGCATGGTTGGTTCTATGTTTTTGCTATTGTGAATAGAGCTGCAACAAACATACATGTGCGGGTATCTTTTTTGTAGAATGATTTGAGTTCCTCCGGGTACAAGGAAACTCCATTTCTATACATTGTTTTTAATATTTAAATTACTTTTCTAGTTATTACCAGGGGGATTCTGTGGGGTTGCAGGCACTGGGGAGTGTTTCCCGGTTTCTCAGGCTCTATTGCTTTCTTGTGTGCATTCCTGCTGTCTTCTTCACACCCACTTCCTACTGTCTCCTCACCCCGGAACATGCCCGGAAAGGTGATCTCCCAGTTTAGATAATGTTGCCCCGGCAGCTCCACCACCTCCTCCTAGGCTTTCTCCATATCTTTCCTTCCACTTTCTCTTTGATGCTTCCTGCCTCCTTGTCTATCAAAACCGTGCACAGCAACTCACACTTCTGAGAGGACACTTCCCATCTAGGGGGAGGTGTTTTCTGGTATTATTCGAGCATTTCTGCCACCATTGATCTTGAATCTCCCTTTTTCTCCCTGCAGGGTCTCCTGGTCCAAATCTTGGATTTCTGCATCAGTTATGATGAGTCTGAGTGTCTTCTTTCTGCCTTACTTGTAAACTGTAGTTAGTGAGTTTTCTTTCTTCTGATTTCTATGAAATTATCACTTGTACATTCTTTTATTATGTATTGTCCTGAATGTTTGGCATACATTTTAAAGAATAAAACTAGAAGTATCAAGATTAGTAGAATAGCTAAAAGTTCATGTCAGCACCTCAGACTCCCTTCTTTTTTCTGAGTTGGAGTCTCACTCTGTCGCCCAGGCTGGAGTGCAGTGGCATGCTGATGGTCACCGCAACCTCGACCTGCTGGGTTCAGGCTATCCCTCCACCTCAGCCTTCCAAGTAGCTGGAACTACAGGCATTCGCCACCATGCCCAGCTAATTTTTTGATTTATTGTAGAGGCAAGTTGCCCAGGCTAATCTTGAACCCACGAGCTCAGACAATCCTCTCACTTCGGCCTCCCAAAGTGCTGGAATTATAGGCATGTGTCACTATACCCAGCCCAGACTCCCTTTTTATATTTGAAAAGTTTTATTCTATTTGCCTCTGTGAATAATGGGATAAAAGAGGAAAAGTTTGCAAAGTGTTATCAGTTAGAATAGAAGGTTCTCACAGAGATCAAGGCAAGAAAGGGTTATGTGTACTAGGACAAAGCAGTGGTGGCAGAGGTGATGAGGAGTCATCAGCAAATACACATACATATGCATATGGAGGTAATTGTTAGGGATTTTTATTTTTATTTTTAGATGGAGTCTCACTCTGTTGCCCTGGCTGTTGTGTAGTGGCACAGTCAGGCCTACTGCAGCCTTGGTTCCTGGGTTCAGGTGACCCTTCTGCCTTAGCCTCCCAAGTTGCTGGATCTACAGGCTTACACTACCATATCCAACTACCTTGACTCCTGGGTTCAGGTGATTCTCCTACCTTAGCCTCCCAAGTTGCTGAGTCTACAGGCATACACTACCATGCCCAGCTACCTTTTAAAAAATTTTTGTATAGATGAGGTTACACTGTGTTGTTCAGGCTGTTCTCAAACTTCTGGGCTCAAGCGATCCTCCCACCTCAGCCTCCCAAAGTGTTTGGATTACAAGCATGAGCCCCTGTGCCTAGCCTGGAAATTAGTTTACACTATTCCATTTTCTCAATACATGATTAGTTATCTGGTATATCCATTATTTAGCATCAGAATTGTAACTTATTTCATTCTTAACTTTATTAGCAACACTGATATCATATAACATAAAGAATGAACAAAGTGTTCTGAGGACCAAATGTTTTAAAAATCTTTCTCTTAAATAATCTTCACTCAAAAAAAAAAAAGACTGTTTTATATGATTCCTTGATCAAAGAGGGAGTTTGTGTAATATTGTTTCTGCATTGCCTTAAGGAAAGAAAGACTTAAATTCCACAGCTTCTGATCTTAGATAAATGGAAGTGTACTCACAGAAATAAGGCAATATCACATGAAATATATATATGCATGTGTATGTATAAGTTTATGTGTGTGTGTATAACCAAAGGCATCACAAGCTACAAGGAGTCAATCATAATTTGAGTGTAAACTATCTATAGGTTTAATACAAGTTTAACATTTGATCATCTTCACCGCTACTACTGAAGATGCACACAACCAAAATATCTGGTTTTACATCTTCCTTTGTGAGTTCAGAGGTAGAACAGGTTGCAGTTGGTGTTCTACATCCTGCTCTGTCTCACTGGAATCCACAATTTCTTCGTGAATAATCACATGTAGCAAAGGTATTGCACCTGATACTGATTGGCTAAGTATGTGTAATTTTTTTGTAGTTTCTGTTTTACTTATTTTTCCTATTTGATTAGGCTTCTGCTTTAATTTTACCTACACATATGTTACATATATGGAGTAATATATATTACACACATTCTGCATCAGTGTAAACATGGGCAAAGTACAAGAATGGGCAAGAAAGAATGAATAAATACAAGTATCAAATAAATCAAGCAAATAATTAGTACAATGGTTTTGTTGTTTAAGTGAGATTTTATTCAGCGTAAATAGAAGGAGATGGTATTTCCTGCCAAGGGATGTATGTGGAGGAAAGGGCTATTGGTCTTTGCCTGTCCAAGGTAATGTATAAGGAAGATAATCACACTGGAAATAATTGCAGATTACCAGTATTGACCTCATTACTTTCTTTCCTCCAGTATCAATAGTTTTATGAACTATAGCTTCAAGAAAATGGAGGAAATCAACAACAGCTCTGAGAAGGGGTTCCTTCTCCTGGGATTTTCGGATCAGCCCCAGCTAGAGAGGTTCCTCTTTGTCATCATTTTTCACTTTTATGTTTTGAACCTTCTGGGGAATGCTGCCATCATATTGGTATCTTGTCTGGACTCCAAACTCCACACTCCGATGTATTTCTTTCTCAGCAATCTTTCTTGTGTGGACATCTGCTTTACCACCAGTGTTGCCCCACAGTTGCTGGTTACCATGAATAAGAAAGACAAGACCATGAGCTATGGTGGATGTGTGGCCCAGCTCTATGTGGCCATGGGGTTGGGTTCATCTGAATGTATACTCCTGGCGGTCATGGCCTATGACCGCTATGCTGCTGTCTGCCGACCACTGCACTACACAACTATTATGCATCCTAGGCTCTGTGTATCCATGGCCTGTGTAGCATGGCTCAGTGGCCTCCTTACCTCCCTAATTCAGTGCTCTCTCACTGTGCAGCTGCCTCTTTGCGGTCATCGCAAGCTGGACCACATTTTCTGTGAGGTGCCAGTGTTGATAAAACTGGCTTGTGTGGACACAACTTTCAATGAAGCAGAACTCTTTGTGGCCAGTGTAGTCTTTCTAGTTGTCCCTGTGTCACTCATCTTAGTTTCCTATGGCTTTATAACTCAAGCCGTGCTGAGGATCAAGTCAGCCACAGGGCGCCAAAAGGCCTTTGGGACCTGTTCCTCTCACTTGCTTGCTGTCATAATTTTCTATGGGACCATTATCTTCATGTACCTCCAACCAGCCAAAAGTAGCTCCAAAAATCAGGGAAAGTTTGTTTCTCTTTTCTATACCATAGTCACCCCACTTTTAAACCCCGTTATCTACACTTTGAGAAACAAAGATGTGAAAGGGGCCCTGAGGGCACTGATCTTGGGAAATGCGCTTAGACAGTGCCACAGGGATTAGTAGGAGATCTGAAACTCTGCAAGAAGTTAAACATCTCCAACACAATAATGTGTCATTCTTCCCAAACATTCTTCATATGAATCCCAAGGCTCCATGTTCTGTCTATAGAAAGCCCTTTGTCCTTTCCCCACCATGCCTTTAATGTTTATGTCCATCATTTCTATCTAGTGTGCTGGTCCACCTGGCAAACTTCTACTTATTCTTAAAAGCTCAGCTGTTGGTTTTCTGTGAAGTTTTCCATTACAATAGAAAGCCTGCAGAGACCAACTTGAGGCACATCTGTAAAGGGATAATGGACATGGTGAGCAACAATCACCCCTGGTTTGGAATGGAGTAAGAGTATACTGCCATGGGGACAGATAGGCACCCCTTTGGATGGCCCTCCAGTGGTTTCCTTGGGTCCCAGGATCCATATTACTGTGGTGTGGGAGGAGACAAAGCCTATGGCAGGGACATCATGGAGTCTCATTACCGGCCCTGCTTGTATGCTGGAGTCAAGGTCATATCTGCCCGGTGGGAATTCCAAATTGGACCCTGTGAAGCATGGGAGATCATCTCTAGGTGGTGTGCTTCATCTTGCATGGTGTGTGTGAAGACTTTGGAGTGATCGCAACCTTCGACCCTAAGTCCATTCCTGGAAACAGGAATGATGCAGGCTACCACACCAACTTCAGCACCAAGGTCATGCGGGAGAAAAATGGTCCAAAGTACATTGAAACTAAGCAAGTGGCAACAGTACCACATTCACGCCTATGATTCCGGGGGGGGGGAGGTTGGACATTGCCCAATGCCTCACTGGATTCCATGAAACCTCCAACATCACTGACTTTTCTGCTGGCGTGGCCAACCATAGTGCCAGCATCTGCATTCCCCTGACTGTCGGCCAGGAGAAGAAGGGTTACTATGAAGACTGTCACCCTCTGCCAACTGCGACCCCTTTGCGGTGACAGAAGCCCCTATCCACACGTCTTCTCAACGAAACAGGTGATGAGCCTTTCCAGTACAAAAACTAATTGAACTAGACTCCAGCCGTCAAGCCCCTCCTAGTTCATCTTACCCCAACTCTTTCCCTCTCTCCCAGTTGTAACTCACAGGGTGGAATATCAAGGTCTTTTTATTCTTTGTTCCCAGGAATCTTGCTTTCTTTGACCAGGGAGGAGAGGTCAAGTTCTTAATCTTTTCATACCTACCCTCCTTTTTATCCCTGTCACTGGTCACTGAAGCTTTCTAGTATGTTAGTGGGGAGGGGGTGGGGAAACATAATCACTGCTTCTATTTAATGGGGGTGTGCCTGTCCAATAGGCATAGCTGTCAGGACAGAGCACATGTTTGCAGGAGGGGCAGGACTCTTCTTCCAAGCAGATGAAAGTGAAGACCTGACTTCCCCCGGCTAGGTTAGGACTTCCCCTCTTGGTGGAAAAGGAGGTTATAACCAACTTTCAGTTAAAAGTGGGAATTACAGAGAAAGTAGGGGTTGGGGATCAGGCGAGAAAATACCCTTGGTCTCTTGTTAAGAACGTCTCTTGTTGGAGGATCAAGGCCTCCCAAACACAAAATGCAGTGCATAAAAATGGATGAGGATCCCTACCTTAAAGAAGAAAACGTTCTTAGTGCTTAGTCCTCCAAGTATCACACAAAGCAAAGTAGTATTTTTATATTTGAATGTAAAAACAATATATATATATATGGTTGTGTGGCTTATGTTTATGTTTCTAAAGGAGAAAACCATCAGGTCATGGGGAGTCAAACTTGAACAGATGGTCTGTAGAAAAGAGTATCTTCTTTTGAGTTAGGGAGTGGAGGAAGTGGTTCTTGGTAAGTTGGTGATTTGGGGTTCATTCCTTCATGACCACCATGGAGTTGATCTGCCCTGCCCACACTCTGGAAGTACTGGACACTGGTTATTTACCAGGTGACACCTGTGACTAGCAGTCATTTGATCTCCTGGCCTTGGTGTAAAAGGCACATACGCTTGTTCACACACTGGGGTTTAGAGTTGACTGGTCAGCTTGAGCTTGTTACTAACAGAGAGGGTATTGGGGTTACTTTCTGGTGGGAATCACACATCACTAAAGCAGGCCTTTTGATATATTAAAAAAATGTTAAAGCAAAATAGAAGTTTAGATTCAACCAAATTTGTAGGGTTTCTAAGTAATTTTTACAGAATTGCTTGTTTGCCTCAACTGTCTCTCTCTGCTCTCAGGGGGGATGGGGACAGAGCTGAAGTCACAACACATGTAATTTTGTATCCTGGTCTATTTTCTCCCAGTGTCAAGTATCTCTTTCCTTTGTTGAGACTGCTGAGGAGTTATCTTTTCCTTTGACAATAAGAAATCAGCTCTACCTTTCTCCCCTCTATTTCCCCTCCTGTTCTGAGTGTTTTGTGTTGGCTGTGTTTTCCTCTTGCCATGATGACTTTTAACTGTCTTGTATAGTATGTTCAGAGTTAGATAACTCCTCATTGTAAACAAACTGTAACTGCCCAGAGTAGCAGTTATAAATCAGCCTAACATTTATAAGGAGAAAAAAAAGCTCAGCTGAAGTGTTACCTGCATTCTCTAACTGTCTTGAAACACCATCCTTCTCACCCTCTGTGCAAAATTGCTTTTGCACATAGCACATAATACATACTGCTTTTTTCACATGTATTATATATATTATATACATATATATGACAGACAAAGTAGTTATATAATAGACTGTGAAAAATATATGACTACTTTCCCACAATATGTCAGTTTTAACCCGAGAGTGGACCCATTCAACTGAGTTAGCTTATTTATAACATGAGAAACACAAATATAACTCAGAGTTTTGATATCTTGGATCCACAGAATTGTGGGATATGAATAATGACTGCAATATCTTATTAAATATATTAAATAATCAAGCTTGCATTAAGTAGATTGGTACATATATTTAGATGAATTCCCCCTTTAATTGAGGTGTTAAAAAGTTGTGTAAAAGTGCCATATACTAAAATGTGTTTTAGTATATTAATAGACAATTAATACAATCTACCATAAAGCAATTGCTTCCAGCCTACCTTAACCTCTGAAGAGGAGTTACTTATATAATCTCTTACTTTAATATTTAAAATATGAAGCTATGCATGGTCTCATGCTAATGATCATAGTTATTTATTTGATTTCCAAAACCGAAAAAAGATATTCAGAAGCACTTTAATAATAACTTTATTCTTATATTTGACCAAACTCTTAATTCTTGATTCAGCTCTTTCTATGACTTTATATATTTGTCTCTCTGTCTCTCTCTTTCCCTCAAAAGATTTAAATTCATCAATTGGTCAACCTCAAGTATTTTAAAAGAACTGTGAAATTATAGAAAAAAATGAATTAGTCTGTAATCTTAATTCCACTTCATCTTTTCATTATGATACCTACAAAGAAAAAAAAGTATAAATACATTAATGCCAACAAAGAGTAGAATATAGACAGACTCTGGAACGTGGCTGAATTTCAAGTGATATAGACTTATGATGACAAAAACTCTGAGCTCATCTATAGTTCATCTTTGCATGAGATTATTGTAGTCCATCTACAAGTGTTAAGGATAAAATTTGAAGCTTTTTCTACTATCAAGCCTCAATAGAAGGCAAAATGGCTGCACATGTAAGAAAACAAAGGTATCAAGAGAATTTACTGAGTAATTTTGGAGTGCCTCTCCAAATATACCCTGTCCAATTTATACCTCTTAAACATCTTTTAGCAAATAAAATGATGACTGTCCAACTTAACAGAAACAAGAGGGATGTAAGCCTGATTAATTTTATCTTTAAGGATATTCTTGTAAGAATCATCCTTCTTCAGTAATGAAAAGAAGATTTGGGAACTGATCAGGACACATTAAGCATGCATATGTTACTTTACAATAGTCAAGTAAAAAAGAAGTTTTCTTCTTCTTATCAATGTGAGATTTCCTCACATTTATAAACATGCAACTTCCTTATAAACAGGAAATCATGGCACAGAATGTATTCATGTCAGTGTCTAAACTAATTTAAATGGCATATGGTCTCTAGAACAAAATAGGGCATTAAAAAAACCTCAAAAGATAAATTCAAAATAAAAAGGCAACTAGTGTGAAGTAATGGTATCAACATAATGTGTAGAAAAAACTACTCTGAAGCAAATAAAATTTCAAACCCCAAATCAAACACTTTTAGCATCATATGAAGCAAAATTTCCATTAAAATCAAATTATTATCATATACAACAAATTAAATGCAAACATAATTCAGAATAAAAGTATACATAGAATAAAATAAATACAATAAAGATGCTAATTTCAGCAATAAAGCAAGAATAGTTATTTCCATCCAAAAAGAAACCAGAAAATAACAGATAAGCAATAAACATATGGAAAGAAAGTTAGAAAAATGACTTTAAAAATGTGGAAACACATTTGAAAAATTTTGTAACTATTTTTCTGCACTTAATTTAGAGTTTTTCTATGATAATATACTTATATTGCATGGCTATCATCATAGGTATATAATTTATCTTTTTAATTATATTATTGTGAGCATTTCTCTTGTGATTGACTAATCTACAAAAATATCCACAGCTTATTAAAAATCTTTCCTACAATTGGATGCTATGAGTATTTGAAAAAACTTACACTAAGCATACCTTTATATTGATAGTATATGTTTATGGTATGTATTTATAAAATAGTTTATAAATATGATTGGTAATTCAAAAAGAGGGACATGGAAGTCAATTTGTACACATACCGGTTTAACCTGCAGAATGTTTATCCAATGCATGCCCTTAAGAAAAGGACAGTCTTGTCTAGTTATGTGATCATTCCATATTGCAATTGTTTTAAAACTAAACAAGAAAAAAGATGAAATGCATATATATTTCAACTACCCCTCTAAACACTAAGAAATAACAAATAGATATATTTTCCAAGAATTTAAAACAACAAGAACAGGAAAACAATGCCTCTACATAAAGAGAACATTGAAAAATTTATGAAAACAGAAAACATATAGGGTCAGAACTCAGAAGAAAAATAGCAGGCACTCATAGCCTAA